CCATCTCTCCCACAGTGGTCTCCCTCCATCTCCCCCGCACTGGTCTCCCTCCATCTCCCCCACACTGATCGCTCTCCATCACCCTCCATCTCTCCCGCACTGGTCACCCGCCATCTCCCCCACACTGTTCTCCCTCCATCTCTCCCGCACTGGTCGCACTCCGTGTCCCCCACACTGATCACCCTCCATCACCCTTCATCTCTCCCGCAGTGGTCTCCCTTCGTCTCTTCCGCACTGGTCGCCCTCCATCTCCCCCCACATTGGTCTCCCTCCATCTCTCCTTCAGTGGTCTCCCTCCATCTCCCCCGCACTGGTCGCCCTCCATCTCTCCCGCACTAGTCACCCTCCCGCAGTGGTCTCCCTTCGTCTCTTCCGCACTGGTCGCCCTCCATCTCCCCCCACATTGGTCTCCCTCCATCTCTCCTGCACTGGTCGCCCTCCATCTCAACAGGGACGTGCCGCTGTATCTGCAGGAAAATGCAATTTTCGCCCAATATGTTTTGGCGGCCGGTATATCGGCGCATCCCTAATATTTACAGCAATGTAGAATGCCACAGGCTATAGAGGACTACACATCCCAGCAATACTTTATATAACAATAGCATTTCTGTATAAAGTACTGCTGAGATTTGTAGTCCTCTATAGAGAGGGCCATTCTGCATTGCTGCAACACAACTTTATACAACATTAGGCTACAAATCATCATTACTTCCCTTTACCTCTTCTGCCTTCAGCTGTTTCCTGTGTGTGTTCTGCTTGCTGGGTCCTCACTGCCGTCCGAGGCCCCATGATGTGCCTGCAGCAGGGGCGTCACAAGGGGGATGCGGGGGGTGCGGCCCGCACCCGGGTGACACCATTGGAGGGGCTGTTAAAGCGTTTTTTTTGTTTTTTTTTAAACTTTTTGCCTATATCTCCTGCTTGCTACCCTCATATATAAGGGTTTAATAACCCTTTAATAGTCACCTGATCCCTGGAACGACCGACAAGCGCAGCGTCCCGCCTCTCACGCTGTGGCGCATTTTGCATCGCTCCCGCTACACTAATAACGTATCTTCTCAGAAGCTGCACGCAGCGCGCCGGTTTAAATAGTTACCGGCACGCTTTGTATGCATATTCTGGCAGCGTGAGAGGCGGGACGCTGCACTTGTCGGTGGATCGGATCAGGTGAGTATTTAAAAAAAAAATTAAAAATGTATTTTATGTTCGCGGGAACATACAATAATAAAACATTTAAAAATGTCAACTTACCTTAACCGTTCTATATGGGTTGGACTTGGTGGACGTATGTCTTTATTCAACCCCAAATACTATGTAACTCTGTAACTATGTAACTCTGTAACTCTGTAACTGTGTAACTATGTAACTATGTAACAATGTAACTATACTATGTAACTCTGTAACTATACGATGTAACTCTGTAACTCTGTAACTGTGTAACTATGTAACTATGGTGTAACTATGTAATTATACTATGTACTGTAACTATACGATGTAACTCTGTAACTATACGATGTAACTCTGTAACTCTGTAACTGTGTAACTATGTAATTATACTATGTAACTCTGTAACTATACGATGTAACTATGTAACTATGTAACTGTGTAACTATGTAATTATACTATGTAACTCTGTAACTATACGATGTAACTATGTAACTATGTAACTCTGTAACTATGTAACTCTGTAACTATGTATCTCTGTTACTGTGTAACTATGTATCTATGTAACTGTGTATCTATGTAACTCTGTAACTGTGTAACTATGTAACTCTGTAACTATACTATGTAACTCTGTAACTCTGTAACTATGTAACTCTGTAACTATACTATGTAACTATGTAACTGTGTAACTGTGTATCTCTGTAACTCTGTAACTGTGTATCTATGTATCTATGTATCTATGTAACTATGTAACTCTGTAACTCTGTAACTGTGTAACTATGTAACTCTGTAACTGTGTAACTATGTAACTCTGTAACTATACTATGTAACTCTGTAACTGTGTAACTGTGTAACTGTGTAACTCTGTAACTATACTATGTAACTCTGTAACTGTGTAACTATGTAACTCTGTAACTCTGTAACTGTGTAACTGTGTAACTCTGTAACTATACTATGTAACTCTGTAACTGTGTAACTCTGTAACTATGTAACTATGTAGCCAGGTGGTCAGTGGGGCTCCCTGGACCCTGGTTGTGGGGAGTCTGTTGTGGCCGCAGCTGCTCCATCCCTCTGCCGCCTTTCTGCCATCTGCACACCCGGCCAGTGGCGTAGCGAGCGAGGGGGCGCCTGCCCCGGGCGCAGGGGTGACCTGACCGTTTGGCCGTCACCGCAGCTCCCGGTCTGCGGTGTCCAGGTTCCCTATAATAACAATAGGACCTGTTCTCATCTCAGCACTCACTATGACGCAGCGTGCGTTTTTTCTCTGCATTTTAGTGCGTCGGGAGGCCGATAGAAGTCAATGGCAAAGCATCAAAATCATTATTCAACGCGTCAGTACAACGTTCACTCTGATGGGTTGGAAGCCGTGGTCAATGTCTGTTGGCTCCATCCACTCCAAACCCTAAATTCAAAACACATCAATGCATATTAATAATGCATGTCACCACACAAAGGAAACGCATGTTGACGCATGACAGTACATATATCTAATGCTACCAAAAAATAACGCACTTCGACGCACATGCATATATCTAAATGGGCCCTAAATCTTGGTGTGATGGTAGGAGAGGTCCTTGCACTGGGATGGAGCGTCGTCTGACCCCATTTGGCCTAGATAGCATTCCGCGAGATCTCTCCAAAACAGTGGTGACGCCACACCAGTAGGAGGTGCAGTATGGTAGCCGGGGGTAAGGGAAGTCCATCTATACTCATTATTTAAAGGCATAGTCCACCTTTTAGGTAATAAATGCACCGATGGGGGTAAAAACATTAATGAAATGTATGCATTCAAGCCTGCAGAGCATTGCAACTGCGATCAGTGCGTTACAAGTGCAATGCTCAGGCTCCTGTAATATGAACCCCCAGCCCCCAGTCCTTATGGAGGTCCTTATGGTGGTAGGGACCTTCTATTATGGGATGGAGGAGGTAATTGATGAACTACAATTGCAATGCCATCACCCCCCTGATGCCGGCGCTCTCTGCTGAGTCCCTCTGCTGCGGTGACAAATGGGGATCCATTGATGACAGTTGCAATGCTTCACAGACTCCAATGCCAAAATATAATCATTCATTGCACATTGTTACTTCTAGGAATGTGTGCGTGTTTATTATTTCCAGTAAAAGGTGGACTTCCCCTTTAATCTTCCCAGAGCAGACTCCATGCACCTTGATTGGTTAGATGAGGCCCACAGATGTCAGTCGTTTCTGGCCACCTTTGCAGCCCTAATCGTATTGACATCACCTGCCAGCATATCAGTCTTTGTCCAATCAGCCTGAAGCCCCGCCCCCTCCCCAGCATATAAATCTCTGGTCAGGGCTGGAGGTCAGTATTGGAAGTGGTCTGCAAGATGTTGTATTCTAGGGCAGGAGTTGGGTTGGTGCTTCTGCTTTGGAGCTGTGGTCTGTCATGGATGCTGTGTGATGCCAAAGGACATTGGGATGGCGCCTCACATCTCCATTGTGCTCTGAACAACATGGAGCTGACCCTTCCTATGTCAGGTGAAGGTGTTTCTTATTCACTGACTGTGCTGGGTGAGTCATTATTAACTTTGCCTTCAATTTTTGTTGAAGAGGTGGAAACTGCCTGGACTAGAGAGCTAGGGCATGGTGGATGGGTGCGTGGGCATGGCTTCCCCCTGGGCATGGTGTATGTGTGCTGATGTAGTAAGGTGGGGGGGGCGATCTTATGAAGCTTTACCATTCTGAAGGGCATGAAGATGTGATGCTGCTCATGTGTAATGGGCACAGCTTGGTTGTGTTGAATGGTCTTAACTATCTAGGGCAGAGCTGTACTCTGGCTAGGTGAGTGTAAGACTAAGTTTAACCTGTTCTGTCTTTTGAATGCAGGAAACATGCGTTCAGAGTATTAAATCTGCCCCTGGAAGCACAAACTAAGACTTCTAAATACAAGCACAACACTGAATCTACCGATCTCTTGTATAGTATTTACAATCCCTACAGGTTCTCTCCATGAGAATGAGGCCTTAGGCTTGGTTCACACTATTGACTGGCCCCTTGATGGTTGCATGCTGCCAGGAATGGGATCTATTTGGGAACCCGGTCACATTGATTACTGTGCGGGAGGGCACTTCTCATGAGGTCTCTGTGGCTTAAAGCTTATGTAAGGTGTTTGGGGGGTGGAAGTGCCTACCACAGATGGCAAAAACATGATGGGCATCTAGGATTTGAGAATGAAAGCTTGAAGCTGATTCCCATGCAGAACTGCTCCCGTTGCCTCAGCGCTGGCTTACTCTTAAAATGGTGAAATGCAGCAAATGGAACACTATTTGGTCTGGTTGCCTCTTTGTATGTGGTCACTACACTTGCCATGTGGAGGCTGCTATGTGCATGGAAAGAGTTGCCAGGATATGCTGATCCTCTGGCTTCATCTCTATTTCCTGTCCTGGGCTATATAGAGATCAGTAAAGAACAAACTCCTTATTTCTGATTTTCAGTGTGTAAGCCGCGGGGTTGGCATGTTAAGTCAGGGAATTAGACTATGCAGAATAACATGAAAGGAATCATCTTATCCGTAGTAGCCTGAGATGGTGAGTGGGGTACCAGGCGGTGTCTCCACAGGACGGATATTATTTGGAGGGTTTCTTGCTGGTCTACCAGTCTAAACTTCTCATATGTGACCACGCCGGTGTCATCTCCCTCCATGTAATAGACTTGTATCTGACACTGCGTTGGCTGTTCCCCAATGTAATGTGGCAGCACCTGAGTCTTTCCAATCTGAGTTGTTATTGAAGTTGAGATTTCTACTATGTCTCCTGTTCAGATTTCCAGGATGAATTTCAGAGTCTTGCCAATGATTCTGCTTGCGGCCTTTCAGTAGGACAGAGACCTGATGACACAATGGTAGTTGGTGCTGCTTATGATGGATGCTACGTAAGAGAAGAGGTAAGACTGACAACACTGACTTCAGATTTTGATGCTGTCCTTGTCTTCATCACAATCAAGTATATGGAGTTTAATGGTCCTGAAAGGCTCATGAAAAATGGTGACCGTGTTCTGTGCCATCTACTAGTAACTCATTCTTTATGTATAGCCCAAACTTCAGTATTTGGAGAGGACTAAAATGCCTGTAAGTGTATTGCAGTCAGGTGTCCCCTCTTTAAATTCATCAACTTGCATTGTCCTGGTGACCAGTCAATGGGGAAGATGACCCCTTACCAGAATTAGAGGTGCTGAGGAAAAAAAATCAAACTTCTGTTCTGGCGACAACTTCCTAAAGGAATCTCTCTTGGTAGAAACTTCCTCACTCCTGGTGTCTCTAGGGCAGGAACCGTTGGGAGATCCTGGCTATACACACTAGACTATGAAGGTGCCTGTGCTGGCTATGACACTAGTATCTCCTGAGTCCTTGGTGAGCAGAGGTGGTCTTTAGGTATAGACCAGCAGGTTTTGGGAGAATGGGTTGGGACTCCTGAGGGGGCTGTTACTGGCAGTGTTCTAAAACCACTTTTCTTCTGATAGGATGGAGAGCACCTAATGGTCCTGCTTCTGGAAGTAATTGTGAATGGGACAGTTGAGCAATACAAGATGGAGAAGAAATGCCCAATACAGAACGGTAACAAGTGATCTTTCTTGTACTTGGGGAAACCTAATGTCCTATAAACCATGAGCACTATGTAGCTTGTCACTTCTTGGGGTGGTCACTAGGACAGAAGCTGAGGAGGCACAAAACCTACTAACTTAATCCTTCTATTGAAATCCAAGCGTTTTATTGGACATTCCACTCATGTACAGTATGTAGATTTACATGATACCTTTTGTCTTGTTTAGAAGCTATGGATGCCCCAAGCCCCGACATCTGCATGCTCTTCCCTGTAACCTAACATTACCACGTAGATGTGAGGTGACCTCATTCAGAAACAGACTAGTGTCCACAATACAGTGTCTAGATGAGATTACTTTCAGACCTGATCTTCATAGTGATATCAGTCTTTCAGAAATTGTTGCACAGAATACTAGAAGTTGGCCTACATGCTTCCACTGATGGAATCACGTCAGTTCATATTGGTGTAATGCAAAATTCCCAATGTTGTAAAGAGCACAATACTACCATCTGTCACTGGGGTGCCAGGACTGCAGGCTTGGCAGGACATCAAAGGGTGACCCTTAAGTAACTTCAAGTCTGAATTTTTGGACTTGTTAGAATATAAAGCAACAGAACTTCAGAGCAATCGGGTCATCTTTAATGCAGCCTATTCTACATCACTGAACTCTGAGCCTTTCCCTGTGTCCCTGAACACAGGTTTTATTAAGCATACAAGCTGGGAAGCATGTCCCATCTACAAGAGCTGCTTCCTTTGACTCATTCACCTGCCTGCTTTGAATTTCCCTCTTGCTGCCGGAAATCTGAAGTTTGGGTCAAATATACATGTGTGTGGGGTAGGATTATACTAGGCCAACTTATCTTGTGCCACCCCTCGTGCCCCATCTGTTTCGTATAAACTTGATGCATGTAACCTGCTAGCCTTGGCATTGCACAAACTGTATGTCATGGCTAGACATGCTAACTATGGTGAACATGACTTTGGGGTTTTCACACCTGTCCCTTACATAAGGGACCATTGTCGGCTTGATTTAGGAAAATCAAATACGGAAACTAAGCCTGAAATTCTATTTTTAGGGAGAATGGCTGAAGAGCAGGAGCTGCTGTCTCTGAAGAACACGGTGACATCTGAAGGACCTGTTGCCTTTGTTTCTGTGGATGATGAAGAAATGCTAAAACTGGAAGGTAATGTCTTCATGATGTTGGATGTGTTTGGTGTACAGTTGTGATTCCAGACTTGTAACATTTCTCATTGTCTTAGGTGCTGATCCCTCGCAGTACTCCACTTTGGACCTGGCTAGAGCACTAGCAACTGCTGGAGTTATTGGCTTGGTGGCTGTCACTGTTGTAGGCCTGTGGCTACATCGCAGGAGACAAACTTCTAACATGAAAAATACAAATGCTTAAATAAGACTCTAAAATAACATTTTCTACATTTTGTTTCTCACTTTTATTAATGAAATGGCTGAAAAATATCATTTTTTGTGGCTTAACGGAAGAGTAGCTAAATATGCAGAAAAATGCATCTGTCCATCAACATATTTTGGGGGGTGGGGGTCAAACATGGTGGCTATAGGCTACCTTCCTCTTATATAGTTACAGCCCAGTCAATGATGTAATGGAGACTAGATGATTAAATCTGCTCTCCAGCCAAAACAAAGCTGTTGGGCGAACTAAAATCTTGATGGTCTCCATCTATAATGTAGTTGGAACACTCACTAATGTCCCTGTGCCCAGTAAATGGGAAAGGTTGTCACTGTCCAGTTGTGATGGTCAATCGCCATATTAAAGGGTTTTACAGGAGTGAGGAACATCTCCACTAGGCACATGTACAACATGCCACCTGGCTGTGTGTTGGACAAACATTCTGGCTGGAGGGGCTGGACTATTCTCCAACGTATGGATCGCAAGATATCAGGCCAACTAGTGAGAAGTGTTTAATATACACAAATCTTATTGTGGGGGTATATTGTACATGACTAAGGTCTGTAGTTAGGTCACTTTATAGTCACTCATGGCTTATTCCTTCTACATACACAGTTGCCTGTGATTGACTACTGAATGGAAGAATCTCCCTTTTGCTGCAGGGTACCACATTTGTAGGTGGTGGTTACTGTAGACATGAGGTTCCTTCTACTTCCACAGCCCTGGTCTGTTCTCTTTGGGCCCAAAAAAAGGGATGAAAAGGAAATCATGGTCAACTGACAGGGTTGTGATGAAGGCACATGTGCAGGAGAACCTTACTAGGGCTATATCTTATTCTGGTGCGCAGTCCTGTTCAGGGTGAAGCTCGGCCTATTTAAGCAATGTCTGCAAAATAAATGTTATGTCACTGGGAGCTGCTATTTACAGGACAGAGCAAGGTAGGGTGGGTGAGCAGTGTTCCTTCTCTGAAATAAAGTGTGTTCATTCACTAGGCTGTGTTGGTCTTAAGACTGGCTGAACAGGAACACTGGTCCTCCGCATGTATTTCAGCAAAATTGGGGTAAATTTACCTAATTTGGCTGTGTTTTAGACTTGTAGAGAAGAGAACCGTATTTGTCACTCCCTGGTAAAAGTTAATGGCTTTGAAGTCTTCTGTGGATGGGGAAGACGAGCTGAAAGTGATCAACTGGCTAATGTTAAAGTGACATTAAACCCTCAGATTTAACAAAACAATACTGTAATGTGCGCCTTACTGTAATCCATGGTAGTTTCCCTTCTCTTTGCTGCTCTTTTTAAATCCGTCTCTCTTCTCATGCTGGGGGAGAACTTCTTCTGTTTTGCAGCAGACTGCCTTGTCTCTGGAATGGATACATGGTGTCTGAGTGCAGGTTTACAACCTGAGGCAGCACTACAGGAAGAGGAACTCAGCTGCAAAGGGAGGTTCTCCCCCAGCATGAGAAGAGATGAGGATTTAAAAGAGCAGCAAAGAGAAGGGAAACTACCATGGATTACAGTAAGGTGCACATTACACTGTTTTATGTTAAAGAAAATCTGAGTTTAATGTCACTTTAAGCTTTAATAACTGCATTCAGTTGTGATTTTGGTTTCTTGTCTCAGCTGAACATCAGACATTTACTGGGACATGTACCAATGCAAAAAAAGGCCATGGGGGTCCCCCTTAAAATCCGCAGCAGACCTTATATCCATTGGACAGTACACATTGTTAAAAAAAAAAGTGTGTACAGTTCATTTTCATGCTGTAGGGCCCACTCAAACACCCCTGGGAGTGTTAATGGCATCCAATGGACCCAGGACATATCCCACAGGCAAGTGCTGGAACACTCATTCTAGCACCCAACAGCAGCTCTATGGGAACACTGTCCGGTGGAGTGATCTCCTGTCTGACTGTACTATGTTCCAATGATGGGAGGGTCAGACCAGGGGTGTATCTGCCGCGAGGCAAACAAGGCGTTTGCCTCGGGCGGCAGATTCCGGCCGAGCGGCGAATGTACCGGCCCGAGAGCCGGTACTTTGTGGCCGGCAGCCAGCCCACAAGTCAGGTACACGGTCGGGGACCGCGTACCTGACTTGCGTGAACAGCTACACAGTCTGCATCTCTGTCGGATGCAGACCCTGTAGCTGAGTCTGCGCCGGCACCCGGATCCTTTTGGCCAGCGCTCTTTCAGTGAACGCTGGCCGAAAGGATTGTGCAGGATCTATTGATGAGGTCTGCAGCAGACCTCCTCAATCAATCGCCGACAGACCGGGACAGACAAGCCGCCTCCTCCCTGCAACAAGGTGAGCAGGAGAGGGGGCTCTGAATAGGTGCCGGGGGGGGGTGGGATAGAGCACTAGCAACTGCTGGAGTTATTGGCTTGGTGGCTGTCACTGTTGTAGGCCTGTGGCTACATCGCAGGAGACAAACTTCTAACATGAAAAATACAAATGCTTAAATAAGACTCTAAAATAACATTTTCTACATTTTGTTTCTCACTTTTATTAATGAAATGGCTGAAAAATATCATTTTTTGTGGCTTAACGGAAGAGTAGCTAAATATGCAGAAAAATGCATCTGTCCATCAACATATTTTGGGGGGTGGGGGTCAAACATGGTGGCTATAGGCTACCTTCCTCTTATATAGTTACAGCCCAGTCAATGATGTAATGGAGACTAGATGATTAAATCTGCTCTCCAGCCAAAACAAAGCTGTTGGGCGAACTAAAATCTTGATGGTCTCCATCTATAATGTAGTTGGAACACTCACTAATGTCCCTGTGCCCAGTAAATGGGAAAGGTTGTCACTGTCCAGTTGTGATGGTCAATCGCCATATTAAAGGGTTTTACAGGAGTGAGGAACATCTCCACTAGGCACATGTACAACATGCCACCTGGCTGTGTGTTGGACAAAGCATTCTGGGTGGGGGGGCCTGGACTAGTCTCCAATGCATGGATCCTGAGATAGGCCAACTAGTGAAGTGTTAATATACACAAATCTTATTGTGGGGGTATATTGTACATGACTAAGGTCTGTAGTCAGGTCACTTAAGTCACTCATGGCTTATTCCTTCTACGTACATGGTTGCCTGTGATTGACTACTGAATGGAAGAATCTCCCTTTTGCTGCAGGGTACCACATTTGTAGGTGGTGGTTACTGTAGACATGAGGTTCCTTCTACTTCCACAGCCCTGGTCTGTTCTCTTTGGGCCCAAAAAAAGGGATGAAAAGGAAATCATGGTCAACTGACAGGGTTGTGATGAAGGCACATGTGCAGGAGAACCTTACTAGGGCTATATCTTATTCTGGTGCGCAGTCCTGTTCAGGGTGAAGCTCGGCCTATTTAAGCAATGTCTGCAAAATAAATGTTATGTCACTGGGAGCTGCTATTTACAGGACAGAGCAAGGTAGGGTGGGTGAGCAGTGTTCCTTCTCTGAAATAAAGTGTGTTCATTCACTAGGCTGTGTTGGTCTTAAGACTGGCTGAACAGGAACACTGGTCCTCCGCATGTATTATAGCAAAATTGGGGTAAATTTACCTAATTTGGCTGTGTTTTAGACTTGTAGAGAAGAGAACCGTATTTGTCACTCCCTGGTAAAAGTTAATGGCTTTGAAGTCTTCTGTGGATGGGGAAGACGAGCTGAAAGTGATCAACTGGCTAATGTTAAAGTGACATTAAACTCAGATTTTCTTTAACATAAAACAGTGTAATGTGCACCTTACTGTAATCCATGGTAGTTTCCCTTCTCTTTGCTGCTCTTTTAAATCCTCATCTCTTCTCATGCTGGGGGAGAACTTCTTCTGTTTTGCAGCAGACTGCCTTGTCTCTGGAATGGA